TATGACTTTTTTTTTAGTCATATTAAATACTTTAAACAAAATCGCTCTCGCAGTTTTTTCACCCAAAATGTAGATAAACGATCTTTCAAATGGAAACAAAAGTTTCAAAATTGGTTTGCCCAAATTAAAAGAAATCGGATGCTTCATGCAGACTGAGCAATTCTGATTATAGTATCAGAATTGTTCTGTATACAGAGGAACTGGGAGGGCTTATTAGAAACTTTTCACCAATAAAGTAATGATCTTCTAGTAAATTTTGCTAATAATTTTATTTATATTTTATTTTATTTAAGCATATTATTTTTGTAACAGTCAATTAGCATTAGCATACGATACAAGAGATTTAATATTACTTGCTCGTTTTTGCGTAAAATAATCAATATTTATATTACTTTTTTTCTTTTTTTTTGTGATCTGGAGGGCGGGTGTTTGACGCATAGAGCCTGTCAATTTCGCTTTCAGAGTGTCGCAGTCAGTGGTTTTATGATTCGTGAGCGCTCGCGATTCGTAGAATCATTGATTGTGACTGCAAGTGCATTTGGCAGGTTTTGTGTGTCGGACGCTTGCTTTTTGGCCTCTTCTTATGTCTAACATGTGCAGAGTATCATTATAGCGTCTAATGGATTCCTGGTTGCGTGAAATATATTTGTGAGAATATCTTTTTGAGATTTAAGTAGTCACGTTTTGTTTATTTCTTTCATGTAATTATCGTAAATAATAGTTATTCAATAATAGATAGTTCATCCACATATTCGTACATTGACGCGAAGCGCTGTGAATTATGAGATGCTCGATGACCTTGGAGGGATCTATTTTGCTTACTGAGCAGAAAATCATGGATTTAACCCCAAGCTCTTCCACAGCACAACAAATCGCCACCATCATTTGTATATTTGATATTGAACATTAACCTCGGAAACTATTTGCATATCAAGCGAAAACTAAGTCCTGTATTGTCGCGAAGCGTTATGGTTCTGAGATGCTCGATGACCCTGGAGGGATCGTTTTTGCTTACTGAGCAGAAAATCATGGGCTTAATCCCAAGCTCTCCGTCATGATTCTTAAAATTCTAATCACTAAACAAAATGAATATGTTCTTTCGATAGCCGGCTATCGAGAGATTAAATAAACAACAAATAAACAATACATACTTTTGGTTGCATCGCCAACTTGAGGTGAATCCTAACCGAATGCCCTACCCAACCCTCCAACTCCTTGAGGGTGTCGCTAAGTCGGTGGCCTCTCGTTAAGTAAGTACTACATCAACATTTCCTTCCCTATCCCTAGTTATGGTAAAGATGGGCGTGGCCGGGAATAGCGACAGTCATGCTTCTGTTACTCTTGTTTAGATTGGAACTAATGTTTACTCTCTAGCATTATTCCTGAATGTAGTCTAACTAAGAATTTCAGAAGAGGCGTGAGTGGCGCTAGTATCCAATCTGCGAAGTATATCATAACAACGCTAACGCTAAAAAGAGATTTTTTTCGAAGAAAATCTCCTTTAACTATCTAATCAAAAAAGATAGCAACGTTCAAAAAGCGTCTTGAATAACGTTTTTACGAGAAATGAACGGATGAAAAGATATTCAAAGAAAACTGTTTTTAGGGGCCACCCTAACCTGCTTGTTAAAAAAAATAACTCATGAACAATAAGAGATAGAAATTTGGTGTCTTCAGCAAAGTTGCTTCGAATTGATTACTATACAACTTTTCAGAACATTGCATTGGTCTATTTCAAATAATAAAAAGTTTGCATTTTCAATTCACCAATTTTATGGACAACCCTTAATTCACGAACATAAAAAGTTTGGCAAAAAATATGAAGAAACTTTCGCCAAGACACCATATACCTAAAAGTGATGGCTGTCTGCATGTATTGTTTTTTTTTTTATTATTATGGATTTGACAGTCAAACCCCGATTAGCGAATCAAACCCCGATGATTTTGTAAAATTTTCCTCAAAAATCTGCTCGATTATGACGAAAATCGAGGAAAAATGTACCCAGCCGATAAAAGTTACTCAGTACCTGAGTCGAATTCAACTCAAAACTGCATTGCAAGGGTTGCTTCCACTCATATTATTCGGAATTATGCAATAATTAGAGCTATGTTGTACTTGTAAGTAACAAGAAAAAGTAGTAAAGTATGTGTTTGACTCATAAAACCTGTCAATTTTGCTTTGAGAGCGTCACAATTAGCGATCTTATGATTCACGAGCGTTCACTCAGAGTGAGCGCTCACGAGTCGTAAAATCGGTGATTGTGACGCATTGAAAGCAATTTTGATAGATTTTATGTGTCAAACATATACTTCATGACCTCTTCTTATAACTTACAAATACTAATTAGTATTATACTTTATCATGATTTCATAATTCCGAAAAACATTTTTTTATAGCAAGTGAGTGGAAGTAACCCTGGCTAGAACCATTGGAGGCACCCACTAAACGAGTTCATATTGAGCACCGTTTAACTGCAATTTAAGTTATTCAACTAAACGGGTCTTACGGTATTCAAGAAGTTTTTCCTGGGAAATCAAGGATAAATTTACTCATTTATTGAGTAACCCAATTTTTCGGAATTTTGTAATTTTGTCGAAAAGTAAAGATTGGATTCACTAAGTCTTTTGGTATTGTTCCTAGACTGAGTACAATTTTCTTCATTTTCCGGCAGATTTTTTAGGTTTTCCACAGGAAAACATTAGGCAAATTTACTCATCGATGTGCACTTTCTGCGATTATGCGTAAACTAAACTCAAATTTGGGTCGTTCTCATTCGCCATGAGATTTTTGAGGACAAACGAAGAAAATTATACTCACTCAGTGAGTAGCCCTCCTTTCTACAGTTTTGAGAGAAATCCTAATAAATTTTGAGTAACTCTCATCGGCCGTGTATGACATCTAACGATGTGACAAACGCTACATGGACAGACGAACTGAAACAAAACGTACAGGTTAGCTCTTTTATGACCTCTCAATCGGCTCGTCTCTCTCGATAGTCATAGCAAGCAAGCATGTGATTGGTTGATTGCGGTCCAAACTTTTTGACCGTCAATGTACAAGATTTTTCTCAGTATAAAAAACTATAATTTTCATTCCAAGCAAATCTTTCATCAAATCTGAATTAAATGGTGTGAAAAAAAAATGCAATTCATCAATAAATGGCCATGTTATAAGCGTTTAAAACCTGACACTATTTCGTCACACAATTTTTTAATTTGCACCCCAGTAAAGTACACAAAGACGTAGCCCTACGTAAAACTACCGAAAATTGACTTTACTCACGTTCTATACTTTATAGATAGTGTCGGGAGTAGTGCGCTGAAATCGCACAATGATGCGCTATAACGCGCTATACGTCCGATACTCAGTTTAACGTGCCGAGCGAGTGTATTTTCCAGTTTTCAACTGCAACGACAATGTTTTTTTCTAAAATCATAGCGCAATCGAAATGACGTCTGAGACAAAGTTGTAGGAATTAATATATCCATATCTGGAAAAAACATGCAAAGTAAAAAAAACGGCGCCGATGGTGTAGTGCTAAGCGTGATTACCTCTCACCCCAGCAGGCCAGGGTTCAATCCCAGTTGGCGTCACCGGGATGTTCTGAAGCATAACATCTCTGGCGTCGGTAGCATTGGTGCTCAGCACGGAAAACAAGATCGACGGAAAATAAATCAAAAGAACAAAATGCAAAGTAAAAAAAAAGTAATTTTGAAGGAAAAAACAAAATAGTTCAATTTAAAACAAAATCTATTGAAAAAATTTGCAAGATTCAAAATGGCCGTGTTTCACTTGAAAAATTAAAAAAAAACAATTATGCAAAGTTTCATGCAAATCTGAGAAGGTCGAGTCGAGTCAAGTTTTATTTGCTATTTGACCTGGAAATCATCTATGCATGTGTTGCTACAGAGTTTATTCGGTCAAATTTTCGATTGGTCAGCGTTCACTGCTTACTTAAACAGCGATATGGTATACGACTGATTGCCTTATTAGTAAATTTACTCTTATTTTAATTTATTAAGCGATCATTCAGCATACCAATTCATCATACCCCCAGCAAACCCCAAAGAATTTGTCTATCAGCAGTCGTAATTTATAACTCGTTATCAAAGAACGTTATGGATGAATGAAGCTGTTTGTTCTCATTGTTTTTGACGCGTATGATGGAAAGTGTGTCCCATATGCCAAAGTATTGCTACATCCTACGGACAAATTAATCCGAAAATAATAATTAATGATTGTGTGTATTCATTACTTTTGATGAACTGACGAGAGTACACACACACACACACTGTCCTAGTGTTCGTGATTCAACTTCCAACAGTTATTGATTTAGAGCTTTCTATTCTTAAATTGTCTCGCTTAGATTCCAACAACTGAGTAGTTCTGCAATTTATTTTGCTGATATTCAGTAAAACAATTGCCGAGATTCAGCTAACAAATAACATTTTGCTGAGATAACAGCTGACAAACAGATATTTTGCAGAGATATCTGCAAAAAAAAATGCCGAGGTAATCGGCTGTTGGAGATTTTACCGAGCTAGATTTAGTGTGTAAGCAATGCATGATTTTGTATATTGTGTGGCAAGCACAATGATACTTGATATATGTGATGGAAAAGTTCGCGATAATTCACTATGACTCACGAACTTTTCCCATGGTGAACTTCGTTAAATATGGCGAACTTTTCCAACACTGGTCCAGGGAACTCGAGAAAAATTCCAAACAGAAGTATTTCCTAGACCGGACCGGGAATCGAACTTGCCGCCTCCTGATCGGTATAACGTGACTTTACCGACTTGGGTATAGAGTAGTATAGAGTACGTCCTGCATTAGAAAATTCAATCAAGACATGACAGTGAAAAATAAAAACCTTTCCGGAAATTCAAATCTCAAGTCTAAATTTTTAATAATTGCATAGATAAGCTCTCGAATTTAATTCCAAATGCCAACCGTACCAAAGTCATATCTAATCACAACTTATTACTATTTCTTCCAGATCGCCAACCACCATCCTGGGCAGATCCTAAAAAAAAAACAACAAAATCAACCGGAAGCCAAGCACTCAGCCAGGCATCCATCTTCTATTATCTATTTCGGACCTCGTTTTATTTTCATCTTCCTTGGATCGTCAAATCATTCCGACGTTCTTTCTTGAACTTTCTACTTCTAATGACGTCATAGTGCCCCCCCTGTGCTGGAGGCTATCAACCCATTGCGCAGAACGCAACACTTATCAAGTCTTAGAGCGCCGAAGCAACAAATTAGCACCACCAACTGGTAAAGATGGCACTCGATTTCGCTGCAGGATGTCTAGGAGGTATGGTATTGGTGGCAATGAAAGTCGCTTTTCAGCCTAATGTAACAATCATCCTAGCACATATCAGGGGCCACTCTCACGTTTCAACCACTCCGTTGTCATCTCATATATATTGTTTTATTATTGTTGTCCATCGGTCCCACTATAAATCAGGTTACCATTGCCAAAGGTCAAGCAACGCTATCACACGGGACTAATAACAGGATTGATAACACGGGCACACAAACTGCGCAGGGAATGAGATACGGCCATTAGTGAGCTGAGTGCAAACTCACTGCCAAGGTTTCAGCTCCTTCCATTATCATCAGTTCTTCCTTGATCAGCATGTTTGACCGAGTACCAACTCAAAATAACCATATTACAGGAGCGATTATCATCAACGACTTAATCTGTTGCTCCCGGCTTCCGAGGGGTCATGTTCACCATCATTGGAAATTGCATACATGTCATCGGATGCATGATAACAACCCGGGGTATGTTTTTCACTAACCATTGGGATTATGAGAATAAATGGGTTCAAAATATTTACCACCGGCAATCACGGGAGATTTCATGTCAACAAACCTTACAAACATATTCGCCAATATGATAAGAGTGATCTCGTGCCAATGGAAAACTTACAAGATTATCATCTATTTTTAGGTTGCGCCGGTGTTCTGGCCGGTTACCCTTTCGATACGGTTAAAGTCCACCTACAAACGCAGGACTACCGGAATCCGCTGTACAAAGGAACGCTCGATTGCTTCCGCAAGATCATCGCCAAAGAAAGCGTCCGCGGACTGTATCGTGGAATGTCCAGCCCAATGGCGGGAGTGGCAGCAGTCAATGCAATCGTTTTTGGTGTTTACGGAAATATCCAACGAAGCACTGCCAACCCGGATTCGTTGTATTCTCATTTTTTGGCAGGTAGTGCGGCGGGCTTGGCACAGAGCTTTATTTGTTCTCCAATGGAGCTGATCAAGACAAGACTTCAGTTGCAAGATAATCTACCGAAAGATGCTTTCAAGTTCAAAGGTCCAATGGATTGTACTAGACATATTTGGAAGACTCAAGGATTCCGTGGCCTATTCCGGGGGCTGGGAATCACAGCAGCTCGTGATATGCCAGGTTTCTCGAGTTATTTTGTTGCTTACGAGCTGATGGTGCGTTCTGTAGCTAATCCTTCGCCTTTTGTCATCTTGATGGCCGGTGGTCTTGCTGGAACCATTTCTTGGTTGTTTACGTTCCCCATAGATGTAGTAAAGTCAAGACTGCAAGCGGACGGTATGGCCGGAAAACCACTGTACAACGGGATCGTAGATTGCTTACGAAAGAGCCACGCGGAAGAGGGTCTTGCATTTTTGTCCCGCGGACTGGCATCAACGCTGCTGCGAGCTTTCCCCATGAATGCCGTTTGCTTCCTGGTGGTATCGTACGTCATGAAGATGTTTGACGAACCAAGCTTAAATGTGGACCTAAAACCGATGGAACCTCTGCTGATGATACAACAACCGGCCGGAGCAGTGAAAGTGACCATTAACAAACGCCATCACGAACAGCACGACAACCACATTCTGAACATCAAGCAAAACACCTTCCGTTTCCTAAGCTTCCTCGGAGCATTCAGCGAAGCTGTATGCTGCGCGGAAATGGATGAACTGGCACATGATTTATATCTAAACGAGGACGGCGGATATTACTATGCAAAACTGAACGAATACCTGCAAAGTTCAAACCAAGAGTACTGTAAAAGATTTCCCTTTATAGATTAGTAGTGACATTACGTATTAGAAAAAAAACCTCAATGTTGTATTGTTGATCGAAAATAAAGTTTTATTAAATTATTTTTTAAGAATCACACCAAACTCACTCTGGAAAATCATTAAACGCCATACAGAAGTTTTTAAAAATTTGAAGAACATTACTTCAGCGTTTGCATAATTTTGGTAAGGTTGAATTTTTGGCCGGGAAAATCCAGGAGAAGATTTTCAACGATTCCGACAATCGTTTCATTGATCTCCCGTTGACGTTGAAGATCTGCTTGAATCAGTATTTCATTGCGGAATTTCGGCAAATGAATTGCACTGGCAAAGGCCCTGTAACGTCTGGCACGATACTGATGGCGAACGATGTAGTCCAAGTTCTGAAAAGAAAGAATCCATCTATCAATTGGCTTTAAAACGGCAACCTCTATCCTTACGTCTTGCTTCAACAACGTTGCTTGTTCCACCTCAGACCTTATCAAGCTAGTCTGAATCCTCTCTTCCTCCATCTGTTGCTTCTTATTTTCAATTTCCGCTTGCAGAAGTTTTTGTGCCGTATCAATTTCAATCAAGTTCTTCTCCGCATCCGATATCTCCCCGAAAACAACCTTCAACTTATTTTTCAACTCATTGATCTTATGCTGCATGGTGGAGCGTGACTTGAACTTGCTGCCATAGACCTTCTCCCTTGCGTTTACCGTATCGTAAATGTGCTCTCTGTGATGCACCGTGTTCTCCAAGTCCGTTACCAGCTTCTCTTGCATTCGCTTGAGATGAACGTAACGTACTTGCATCCGATGAATCTCGGCTTTCATTATTCCAATTTCGCTATTCTGAGCGGACTCCTCTTCCTTGAACTTCTTTGCTTCAGCGGACATTTTGTACTTAGTCTCCCAAGAAAGAGCTTCCCGATGCTTCTCCAGCACCTCCTGCTTGCACTCTTCGATTTCTTTACCTAGATCATTCAAATCTTGCTCCAGGTTGAGGATGGACATCTCGGCATCCTTTAAACGGTCCGTTGTCTGCTGGTGAGATATCTCACATTCCATCTCTTCCTTCTGGTGCACTTTCTTAGTCTTGAACAGCTCCAGGCTGACAGCGTCCAGTCGGGAATTGAGAGCCGACAGCGAGCGTACAATTTCACGGTTCTCGTTGACGACTTCCTCCAGTCGAGCTTCGATCTTGATGGCTTTCTGTTCAACCAGCAGAAGCTCTGTTCAAATGTAAGATACAGTTAATCAGGTATTCAAAAAAAAGGAAAAAGAACTCACTCTTCCTGGAATAGTTGATCTCATTCAACTGTTGAACACGCTTCTCCGAGAGACTTACGACGCTGTTCTGGAGCTTTATCCAAGTCTCCTGAGCCTCCTTTATCTTCGTATCCAGCTCCATTATGTCATGTTGCACGTCCAGCAGCTTCAGCTCATCCGGGTTCAGCTCTTGACCTCCAGCCAGTGTGATCAACTGCTCCAATTGACGATTCAGTCCATCCAACCGGCGTAATTTTGCGGAAATGATCTCTTTGATCACCTTTATCTCCTCATCGTATTTCATAGCTTCAGCATCCAATGAATCGTGCTCAGTCTAAAATAGTTCAAGAAACGTTCAATGTAAATTTAACATGCTCAGAGTTCTAACGCATTATCACCTTTATCTTCTGCACTTCTCCTTTGGATCTTTCAACAACTCCACGCCACTTTTCCAGATCCAGCAGAACAATCGACAACTGATTCTCCGTATCGGACATTGCTATCTCCAGCTCCCGTCGTTTATCCTGTGCTTCTCTCAGTGTCTTTCCTTGAGCTTCCCCGGCCTTATCAGTAGTGAGCTGATCCTGCAAAAGCTCCAGAATTTGCTCCTCCAGCTCAAACTTTTTCTGATGCTGCCTGTTTAGCGTTTGACGCAACGATTTCAAGTGGTTCTCGATCAACAGACCCTCCTGTTGAGCCTTCAGCATGTCCGCCTCGGTTTGCTCCAAAATCAGCGCGTAATGATCCAACTCACGTGACAGCTTATCCTCTTCCTCTTGTTCTTTGTTAACTGTAATAAGAAATAATATGAGCCTATTTTTTAACCTAGCATACCGCAAAACCTTGTTTCTCCAGCACGTGAATATCTCCTTGGATCCTGGATTTGAATCCTGATAGTTTTTCGTTTTGTTCCATCTCCTTTGCAGCGGACTTTTTTGTGATGTCAGTCTTACTCTTGATTACTTTATGCTCTTCGTAAACACCCCTGAAACCAGATATCGTACAGCAAATTACACCAAACACAAAATGATTCCACAGAAACTTACTCTAAATCATCTTTTGTTTTGGATAAAACCCTGTCCCTTTGCTGGATGGCCACTATGACCTCTCCCCAAGATTGAAACAGTCTCTTGTGTTCATGCTGCAACCCTTCCAAGTCGGAATTGGCATCCGCCAAACTCCTATTTATAAGTTCCGTGGCACTTTCCTGCTCTTTGATCTGCTCCTCAATGCCTTCCAACTCCTGTTCCTTCCTGCGAACTTCCGCGTCCAAATTGAACACCAACAAGTCCTTTTTACGCTTCTCCTCCGCCGCAGCAAGTTGATCCTTCGCATCCTTACTGGTAACCCTCTTGGCAAGTGCGATCTCATCCTTTATCTCCTTGTCCCACTTGGAGAATTCACCCTCAAGAGCCGCCAAATTGTCCAACTCCTGCAGGTGCTCGTTGTAGATCTTCTTAAACTCCTTAAACTTGCGATTTTCATCATCATGCTCTTTCTTGTACTCCGCTGCCGCTTGTTCGGCAACTTGTCTTCTTCCCGACACTTCCATGATTTCCTTGTTGTAGATATCCAGTAGTTCCTTTTGGTTATCGATCTCCTCCTGCAGATCGTACAGCCGGGATCCTACCTCTTCAGACTCTTTCTCATTTCGCTCCAGACGGTGATCCAACTCAGCAATTTCCTCCTCCAGTTGGTCCTTCACTCGGAGCAAATGAGCCTTGAGTGCAGATTGGAATCTATCCAGCAACGGATGATCCTTCTCCAGAACCCCCGATTGATCGACGATCGAGGCATTGAACTCATCAGCCTGTACGCTGAAGTTGGAAGTTGGATGTTCCTCAGGATTCATGATTTCACAACAGGTTTTAAACCGATTTCCGCTTTCACAGTGGCAATGACACAAACTGGCGTCAGTGATAAACAGACTACCCGGTTGCTAGAGTGATTCCTTCCGGTTCGGTTATCGATCAAACGTGGTAAGTTGCTATTTTGGTTTCAACCTTGCATGCAACATGTGGTCGTAGTTGAACGCACGTGTGCTTGCGTGCCAGTGAAAGTGAGCGATTTTGAAATAGCAAAAATGGCTGCCGCTCACGCCACTCATCAAACCACGCGCTCCCGTCAGCTGTCATGGTTTCGTCGATTCTGTTCAGCTGTGAGTGGCAAAACATAAACAACACCAAGCAGACCCATCAATAATTGAGTTTATTTTTTGCAAAAGGAAAATTATCGTAGCAATGATTGTGTTTTGATTGTAAGTAATGCAATCGGTGCAATGGATTACAATATCAGTAGACTATGTCGCGTTTGTCTGGAGGAAGGCGTTTTTACGTCGATTTTCAACACAGATCTGGTGGCGATGGCTCCTGCCGATATGTTGGTGATGTGCGCCAACATTAAGGTGAAATTTGATTTGCAATATTTGCTTGGTATGGTATTTCTTAACCGCATATTCACAAATTTAGGTATCGAAAAATGATGGATTACCAACGACAATTTGCAACAATTGCATGTACCGTTTGGGAGTTGCATTTCATCTCAAACAACAATGCGAAAACTCCGATATGAGGCTGAGACAGTACATCGGACTGATGACTGGTGTTTATTCCAATTCGATAGACAAGGAAACCATGACGGATGATTCGTGGATGCTTTCCGTGAAAAAGTCCGACGAAGTGGAACGAAAAACAGTCAAAAAGTGAGACAACTATTTTGAATATTTAAAGAATTTCTGAAAAACGATTTTGTTTCTATATCAAGGAAATCAAGTGGCAGAAGCAGATACAAACCCAAACCTCCGGAAGATCGCAAGAAACGGGGTCCCAAACCAACGCCAAAAATTCCACAGACATGCTACCAGTGCCATAAAACATTCAAATGTGCTGCTCAGCTGCAGATGCATTTAAGGTCAGTCAATAGTTATCACCAATTTGTTTATTTATTTTCCCAAACAGTGCTGACAAATCTCATTCATTGACTTTTGTCACTATCAGATGTTGAAAATGATCATCTACGAATACCGAGTTGTCAATTTGTCCAGTGGAAGTGTACTCAGTGACGTTCATCCCAACAAACATTGGAAGCGTAATAAGAGCTTATTCAGGAAAAACAAAATATGCTTCTTCTGCTAAAAAATAGCCTATCAGCCATTAATCAGCACAAATTGTCAACATTCGATACTAGCAACATTTCAAATCGAAATTCTTCCTTGGAATCCTCTAAACATCAGGATCTTAACTGCATGGATAACAATAATTTGAATAAATGTATAAGAAAACCACTTGTATTGATTGGTGAATCTAGGTCATTGACCTAAGCTGTAGAGGAATAATAGTGCTAGTGGTGCCTTTCATCTGATGAGTAAATGGCGGGTATTAAACTGTCAAAAATCGTATTTTTCCATAGTTAGACTGTCCATATAGAGATTTCTAAAGTGTGATTGTGTCAGTGATTTGTTTTTATCAGGAAAATTTTCCGCTATGAAGTTTTTTGTTCCCCGATGAAAACATTTTGCGTATACGTATACGTGACATAGTGTGCGTACGATAAACGTCAGCAATCTCTATATGATGAAGCAGAAGATGTTTCGTACGCTATTCTTCCTTTTTAGTTCTATTTGCCTTTGTTCATTAACCATATCATTCGAACAGTTTAAAATTACCTTACCTAGAGTAGATGTACCAGTTATGGTTATATGTTCCTATTATGGTGTGTCAATTATGGTTTATGGGAATCCCATAGACCATAATTCGAACACAGCATAATAGGAACGTATAGCCATAACTGGTACACCCACCCTGCCACTCGAACTCTTTTGTTCTATCGAGAATCGAGAAAAGCGAGTTTTTATTCATGCTATCCCTGAAAAATCTGCATTTTGTAACCCAATTTTTTTTTAACTTTTGATGGAAGATCGACCCAAAACTGCTCGAATATGTGATTAATTCATCCAGTGACATAGTCAAATTTATGTTTGTTAATATGGCATGATTTGTCCCAATGACAATGACACATTTCAGCACTGTTCCCAACCATATACCTAAAAGATAACGAAAAGGTTAAAAATTTCAGAACTCATAGTGGCGAAAAACCTTTCGCGTGCAGTTTCTGTTCGAGGAGATTCGCACAAAAGCACAATTTATCTATCCATTTACGAACGCATACAGGTAAGATTATCAGACACTGAAATAAATTATCACGTTATTTCAACCTATACAGTTCAATGACAATAGTTTAATAAACTCAAGTGAAAATTACGTAAGAGATTTGCATATTAATTGTGACGTAAAATGCTGACTTTGATAATTAAAAATCTTCTTTTTCTTATTTAGAAACAACGTGATAATTATAATAAGTTTAGATTGTCAAACACTCAATAATGTATAATTTATCGTTCTGCTTACAGGGGAACGTCCCTACCAATGTGAAATCTGCAGCAAGCAATTTTCGGCGCTGGGAAATTTTCAGGCTCACAAGAAGATCCATTCCAACCAACGGGACCACATTTGTCACTCGTGCAATAAGGCCTTCATCACATCCGGTGACCTGTCCCGGCACATGGTCTCCCATTCGGGCATCAAAAACTATCACTGTGATATCTGCGCCAAAAGTTTCAGCCGAAACCGAGACATGGTAGCGCACAAGAAGAAAGTCCACCTGAACGACCGAACCACGGAAAACTACAAATGCATGGAATGTCACAAAGTTTTCGCTACGGTTGACAGCTTAAACATCCACATGCGTGTTCACAATCCGATGCCATTGGCAACGCTGATGCCACCCCCACCTCCTCAACCGCAACCGCAAATCCAACAACCGATTGCAATTGCACCGCATCACAGTCTTGGCCCGGCCTCGTTGGGAGTCGGGCTTGGAATGCTACCCCATACCCACACCCAAAGCACCTACCACACTCAGATGCATCCAGCTCAACGGTTGCATCCTTACTAAGCTTCATCAACATCACTTCGCACATCACATTCAAAGTTTTGTTTATTTTTCGGATTAAATTAAAAGCACTCAAATGATTCGTAATTTCATAACAGTTTTGCATCTATTTTATTTCCGAAAATCTAATTTCCTCCTACCGAAACAATCCAACGCTCGCGCACAACAATCCGCATTCCTTACCAGCTACGTATCAACTTATGGAACGATAACTACGAAAATCCTATGCTGAGATAAGGTTCACTATAATTCTGTGAATCCGACTGGAATCAAAGCACTTTTGTAACGCAAGTTGCTCGGGTGGAAGTGTTCTATGTGTGTGTGTATGTGTCTGGAATTGCGAATGAGTGAGTGAGTGTTTGTGTGTGTGAGAGTGTGCATTTGTGAGCCTACCGTTTGCCGATTCGGAGACTTGTGTAACTTACAATTTTAAACTATTAAACCATAACGAAACAACGGTTTTCAGAGGTTTAAACTATTCTTTGCGATTTAGAAAGAACTTAATAGACTACTTTTTTCAATGATACCTAATGACTAGTTCGACTTGACTATATATGTGCGTTGTCGGAAGCTTGTGGACCGGTTTTTTAAGGTTGTTGAAAGTATCGAAAGATGGAATTTCACTTGTACTAATCTAAGTGTTTCAAGAATCTTTAGCCTTACAGATTTCAATTTTCTGTTGAGCATTTCCAGGCCAGATAGCAAAAAGAAATTGAATTTCTGAAACGATCTTCTTCTTTTTCCGCCAATCTTGTTTTCCGTACTGAGTACCAATGCTACCGACGCCAGGAAGGCATCTCCCACATCTGGACCCTTCTTATCAACCCATCAACTCATGGACCGCGGACCAACGGCTTTACTTCCTATGCCTCAGAAAATCTCGGCGGCACCATCTCGACCTTCTCCGATTTGCATGAAACTTTAAATTATTGTTTGTCAATCATTCACATTTGTACTCACATCTCGTCTGTGCTCACGTCTGAGACGAAGTTGTGAAAAAAAATACTTAAAAATTTTAAGTTATTTAAGGTGAAAAGAGTTTAAAACTTAAATAAAAAGAAATGGACCTGCTATTTTTTGTTTAGTATGTTAATTGAAAAGCTCATAAAATGCTAACATCTCTGAAATGTTTATGTTGGATTCTTCAAAATTGACAAAAATCATAGAACAACAAGTTTTAGTAAAATCTATGATCTCTTTTTACGCATAAATTTTTGAAAAATATTTGCACAGAAAATTATTATTTAGGCCTTCAAATCGTTTTTTTTTTTTAATTTATCAAAAAAAATGTTTTAACAAAAAGTTTATAAATTTGACTGGTAGTTGTTGTTCTATGATTTTAGTCAATTTGTAATTTTTCAACTTCAACATATAATATTAGTGAGCATTTCACATGAACTTTTTAATAAAAAGAAAGATTAAAGAGGGTGTTTTTTTAATATTTTAGTTTTAAACACTTTTTAGGATCTTTTCACAAAATGACTTGAATTTTTCACAAAAGTACATGAATTTCAAAAGCGTTTATATTTTTTCAGGAAAAGAATTATTTTTTTCTAGAACTATGTCTCAAATGTCTTTTCGATTGGAAGTAAAGTTTTCGACTTTTTTTTTGTTTTTGTTTTGCAAGACTCAAAATGGCCGAATTTTGGTTCAAATGTGAACATGTTTCATGCAAATTGGAGGAACTCAAGTCTGATCGATTTGTCATTTGGCGAGGAACTGCTCAATTATTTTGATGGATCCCTGGAATAGGCATTGGCGTAGCTAATGGGGGTACCTAGGGTTCCTGTCCCCCTCCAGAATGATCAAGGCCCCCTCCAGATTTGATTGGGGAATTCACTAATACCAACAATTTTAATTATATAAATCTTTAAAAAAAAATCTGTAGGGGGGCTAGTTCGTTCAAGAGCGGGGGATACTCCCTTCTGGGGATTCCAGAGATGAACCAGCCGATCCTGAAAGTCTCTTAATAAATAAAGAAAAAGAAGGCAAATATTCTAGATGGGACCTAGTCTAGGAAATTTCATTCAGATG